ATATGTATAGTGAACACTACAACAGGGACATTGGTAAAAACCTTTGGTAACAAAGGTAACGGTAATGGACAGTTTTATGTTCCATGGGGTGTACACGTTGATGACGATGGTAACATCATTGTGTGTGATCGTGATAATCATCGTGTTCAAGTCTTCACAAGAGACGGTGACTATCAATATCAGTTTGGTTTGACAACACAGGACRMGTTTRMTCCATTTGATGTGATAACACATGATGGACTGTTTTACGTYAGTGATTATAATAATCACGTCATTCATGTATTTGAGAAGAAAGGTAACGTACCGACTAGAATATCGACGATTGGTGGTAAAGGCAGTGCTGGTGGTCAGCTGAATGGACCATGGGGCCTGGCTATTGATAATGACCATCATCTACTGGTGTGTGACTGTGGTAATAACTGCGTACAAAAATTCACATTGGATGGTCGTTTTGTAGGAAGGACTTTTGATGTAATCAATAACCCTAGATATATAACTGTTTTAAAGGATGGTCAGTTATTAGTTAGTACGTATGGTTCTGGTGTCTGGTGTGTAAAGTAGAATTGGCTAATAATTTTCAATATTTGATCGATATGACATATTGAGTGATATCCCTGAGTTTGACATGTGCTAAAATATTACCATTCACAGTTTATACATTTAATATCTGTTTTTATTCTTTTTTACTTTTGTTTTCGTTTGGTTTCTTTTGTCTCTTTTCACTGCTCCACTTTTCTGTTATTGCTGTTTTGTCCTTTTCGTTTTCTAATTTATATTCATATGTACTCTATACTCTTAGTAGTACATTATTTGAATGGCTAACACAATAGACATCAACACAGTATTTTGGCTTGAAAGCAAAAAAAAAAAAAAATGTCATGTAAAGTTATAGTTACAGTTAGTTTAAATATAATCAGATGATGATCTTAATTCAGTTTCTCTACCAATGTCACATACACTTTTCCAGTCACTCCACTGATAAGAACCTAACTTGAAATTTGTATAGGAAATCGTACAATCTTGAGTACAATTTGGAAATCAATAGACACGAGTAATGTTTTGAAAGTTCTTGTAATTGCAAGAGCCTTTAGGCGAGTGCAAT